TCAAAACAGCTCTATGAAATTGGTACTCTTATTATCCCCCCACTTGACAGAGAAGGAAACTGAGGCACGGTGTGTTTTCAGAATTTGTTCAATGTCACCCAGCAGGGCAAGTGGCAGAGATGGGATTTGAACCCAGAAAATCTGGCCCCAGAGTCCATGCTCCTAATCTCTTCGTTTCACGACATGATGTGCATTTAAAATGAATGGTGCATTCCCATTCTTATTGCAACTACTCCCACTAGGGAGGAAAGCAGGGTGAGAACTCACTGGGCAAGGACAGCACCTGCAGCCTTAGAACTGCGACCCTCTCCCCAGTGCCAGACTTCCCAGGGGAAGGGAAGGAGTGGTCAGTCCTCCGGCCCCTCCCAGTGCAGGGCTGTCTTCCTATGCTCTTTTTCAAAGCAAAGTGTCTCTGCTGCCAAGAGCGGGTTTGTCTGTCTCTTGGAGACAGCGGTTGTCAAGCCTGAGAGAGCAGCAAGCATGTCAAAAATAGCAGCGCCAGCAGACTGCGTGGCTGCAATTTCCTTTTGAAATGTCGGCTTTGTTCTAGCCAAGAGAGCCGGGGTCTGTCTGCGCTCCCTGCAGCCTGCAGCTGAGGCTGCTTAAGGTTCCAAGACGTTTGCTAGGGGCGGGCACAGAGTGTCTGCTGGAAAAATCCTCTCCATAGTAACAATGATGAGCTTGGAGTTGGGTTTAAAAATGTTGTCATAAACCCCACCAGGGATAGGTCCCAAATAGGTTAAGTGACAGCCAAGGTGAGACCAGTATTAATGACACCGACTGTAGCGTAGGCCCCTTTTCTCTTTTGATCTGGAAATGAGGGAGTCACTGTTTCGTTTGGATCACCTGTCAAAAGAAGGCACCACTAGGTTTAACCCACTCCCCCCTTAGGGTGCCAAGGAAATGAGGACCAGACGGGATCGAGAGGCAGGGTGAACGCCTTCCTCTGGGAGTTCAGAGCAAACGGACAAGACAAGCTCCAACCCTACAGAGACCTCGCGTCCAGAACGGGGAAGTGGTTCCTCATGAGGCACGGGAACAGCACCAAGCAAGAGCCCATCTGCCCTGGTTCCCGTGGCCTGATTCTGGGAAGCTCCGTCTCCCCTAAGCCCCGAGTTCCAGGCCTGATTCTGCCAGGAGGCATCTGTGCAACCTGAGGCAGCGGGTGTAAGTGGGATGGAGAGAAGAGACCCTACAGTTTAAAGACTGGATCTCTTTTCCTCCCCTAAGTGACCTTGACAAGCCAGAGCGAGACCACACTTTGCTTCCTGGGGCAACAACACACAGTCAGAACCAATCAGAGCTGGACACCAGTTCCAGCCAGACTGTCCCGGGAGGACAATATTCTCTGGGAATCTACTTGGCATTTACAGGCAGATGCCAGCGACTGAAATACTGCCAAGAGCAAGGGCTCGGCCAGTGGAGAGAGGAAAGATAAGCAGCAGGACTGGACGGTGTCATGTGAGGAAAAGCACCAAGGGGAGGGAAAGAAGGGATTCCTGAGGGAAATGCAAGTAAGAGCAAGAGAAGAGCAAGGTCTGAGGAAAGGCTGCTGCGCCCACTTCTGTTACGGGAAGCACCTGCCTGCCGGCCCACCCTCGGCCACGAAGGGTACTCACTGGGTGCTGCAGGGAAGGGGGGGCAGAATGCAGCCCTGGCTCCTGCGATTTCCGAAGGAAGTCTGTGTTCACAGGTGCAGAGATTAGGTGGGGATTTTGGTTTGTTTGTGGGGTTTTTGTTGTTTTTATTTTTGTTTTGCCAGCAAAGTATAATAAGTCCCTTGGCCAAGTTCACTGCCTCAGTCCCATGTAATGAATGATGTCCAACATACTTATTGTAGTTTAATGACGCTAATTATGCTCGGCATCTACCAAAAGGGGTTTAAGCTATCTTTAGAGCAAAAATGAACAAACATGCAAATCCCACCATGGTTTGTCAAAAAAATAAATAAATAAAATCGGTCCTTGGCACTGTACGTGAGTAGAAAGGAGCAACTGTACGGAAGGCTCAAGGTGTCCCCATGTGGCAGAAGAAAAAAACTGTTATTTCATCCTGAATGCTCAGCCTGGCCCATCTTTAAAAATGCTAAACTTCTAGGTTTATAAACCCAAACCATTCCCACAGCCAAGATGTGACTCTCCCAAGTATTAGCCGCACATCACTCTTTTCACAATCAATGACTTTTTTTGGTTAATTTATAGTTGTATAACTTTCACCACAATCCTGTTTTAGAAAATTTCCATCCCCCCCGCCCCCATGTCCTGATGCAGGTGGACCTTACCCTATGCTAGACCTCCAGCAAGGGAAGTACACAAGCTCTCTTACAGCCAGGTTGGGGATCTTAATCCAGCTTGTCAAGGAGTGTCCCCTGCACCTTGCACACTGAGATTTATGTCCTAGCTTCTGTTCTGCCTTCAGTGCACGAGAGAGACAGCTGGGCGCTGTGAGAACCTTCCAGTGAACTACGGCAGTTAGAAGGTCAACCCCGAGTTAAGGCTTTTTCTAGGCTAATTCCAGTCTTATACCTTCTAAGTCATCTTTTCTGTGTATTTTTACTATTTCTACTCTTCCTTTGTCTTGAACATCTCTGTAAGCTTCTAAAGGTTGGGGGACCCTAAGGTGAAGATATTTCAGTGCTATAAAGCACAGTATTTATCAGAGACTTATCAGATTCTCTCTTTCTCTCTCATCCTTGTAGGTTCAGGAAATTCTGGGAGACACTTTTCTAAACCCACAGCAATCTCATCTTGCCTCATAAGTTCAGGACTTCCCTGCACAGAGGTGAGTACAGTAGGAAGAGATGGTCTACTGAGATGTCAGGAAAAAGAGGGCTCCTGGGCTGGACAACAACCTTCTCAGCAAACACTGCCGGTCCTAGAGTTCAAAGCCTGAGCTCTGCAGAAATCCTATAGGTACCCCAGCCACCAAAAAGGTGAAGAGGGGACAAAGATAGAAAGATACATATAAAAGGAAGATGATATTAAAACAAAAGAAGGGAAATTCGAGAAGAAGAAATGCAGAGCGGGTGAGAATGGAAGGGGGAAAAACCGAGAAGAGGTGATGATTCAAAGGGTGGGGCGAAGCAGCCGCAGGGAGGAAAAACAGAGAAGGAGGGAACTAATGTAGATGGACTGAGGAACAGACGGAGAGCGGTGGCTCCTGAAGTCAGGGAAATCCAAGCCCTGATTTTCCCCAAATGCGTTCACTCCCGCCCTCTCTCTGCCCCTCCCCACCCTGATTCTAATTTGCCCCAAAGGACTGAGCCCACGAGAAATTCCCCAACGGCAGCACCTACCTCAGATGCACAGCCAGCCAGCTGTCCCTTTCTCCCATCCTGGGGATCACCGGGCAGGAGGAATATCCCACTTCTCTGTTGAGCCCAACAGATCCAGAAAGACCTGTGGGAGCTCCTGCTGTCTGAGCCAGATGTCGGGATCGCCTGAGCCCGGCCTTCGCTGGCAGCTGTGACATCGCTGCCCGGGCTGTCACAGCAACACAGGGTGCACATTCTCCCGACGCTCAGGGCACAAATCCACAGGGAGAGGCTCAGAGGCAGAGAGGGCTCACTTGGCAAAATCCTCCACAGAAACTAGGGCAGGTCACAGCCTCTCAGTCGGTTTTTCTTCGACATCTTAAGAAGAACCACCTATGAAGTTCCTCCCAGGAGCCAGACTGTTTCCCGGCAGGGAAGGAATATCATTTCTCTCCATCGCTCTTGGAGCTGGGAGGAGCCACTCCCTCTGAGGAGACGAAAACTTCCTGATACTATGATGGACTAAAACGGTCGTGATGCCCGGCAAGGCCCAGCTTGGCTACCTCTTGAGGACCAAGTCCCCTCCAATGCTCCCCTTGTCATTTTGAAAACGATAGTATTGGCATCTGTTTAACTGGCAGCTGCTTAGCATTCAGGTTTCTGACGACTCAGAAGTGAGATGAGGCAGCTTCAGTGACTGGGTGGGGAAACCAGGAAGAAAGGTCCAGGTGGAAAGTTTTAGGGACCTGCTTTTCCAAAGGTCACACACCCCTGTCCTTGCACTGAGTCCCTAACCCAGTGTGGGGGAGGCGTTCCCACTTCAGAAGCTGGGGATATGTAGTCTCCTGGTCTCCCAAATAGGAAAATAGAAAGGTCTGGAAGGTTGCTACGGCAACCAGCGTCCCTGGAGAGCCCAGTGCTCCACACACCCTTTACTTTTGGGCAAGCTCTGACTACAAGAGGAGGTGGTTTATCAGGGATGGTGATGAAGGTGATCACATACACACATGTAGAGATGCAGGCCTACATGTTCCAACATTTACCCTCGGCTGGGCCCTTCCCCTTCCTCCAAATACCCAGGAGCAACTGAAGAGATGCGGAAAAGCAGCACTTTTCGGCCTCAGAGCAGGTTTCTGAGTCATGAACTCCTCTACCTCCTACTGTAGTTCAGGTTTGGAGAAGCTAAGCTCCTAATCGAAGTGGCCTCTGGTCCTAAGGATCCCAGTGAATCTGTCTAAAGAGCACCCTCCTTTCTGAAGTGTAAGAAGAAAAACTGAGGCCCAGTTTAAGAGGCTAAGAAAGGATTTAATGAGCTAATGGCCCAGAATGGCCTATTCGTGGGCTTTGGATCCAAGGCAGAAACTCTGAGGAGAGGCTTCGCCTATGGGAGGTGGGAGTCAGGGTGATGAACTAAAATTCACACATTTGCATAGCATTATCCCCAGTTTCCCAGATGAGTTCACTGAACATTCCCCATGAGGTAGGGAGGGGAAGACATTAATGTTCCCATGTAATGGATGGGGAAACTGAGGCACAAAAAGGGTGGCACCAGTTACCCTGTAAAGCTGTGGCATAATCCAGACTGAGATCTGGTACTCACAGGAGCCATAGCATCTCTCAAGAAAACCCTCAAAAGGCCGTCCCTCATAAGTTGCTCTTTGAGAAAATAATTTAAAAAAAAAAAAAATTCTCATCCAAGGGTAAATCTTAAAGCAGAGATATAAAATTAAAAACATGTTAACAGTCCTTTTGGTTTCTGAACTGTACCCAAAAGAGCTCAGAACAGTACATCACAGTTTATCAAGGCAACAAACAAATGACAGTGTTACCAGGAGAGAAATGAGGGGAAGTGGAAGGCAGGGGTTTCCCGATGGAAGGAGATGGCTTAGTTGGGGTGGTGACACCACCAAGTTACCTTACCGGTTAGAGCAAGTCGGCTGCAGCTCCGAGGGGCAGAGCGGGCGAATGTTTGCTTGACTGAGCAAAAAACCTCTAGCAGTGTGGTTGTCAGCAAAGAATAATGCTTCTTTCTTACTCTAAACCACCTATTCCATTCCCAGTAAGATGGGAAGACACCCACACTAGCATCCAATGTGTGCTTTTACCTGTCTGCAGGTTTAAGCTGGAGTTTGTTTTAGAAAGCCTTCAACTGTCCTAAATCAAATTCCCAAGAAGAAGGGTGGAGGGCTGGAGAGGTTGGGGGAAAGTAAGGGATGGCAACAAGATTCCTCTGCCCCTCCTGGATGACCGTATCTGTTTAAGTGCCACCTCTCTTCAGATATGTGGACATGCCAGTTGCCTGACTCTGTTCGGCCACTTCTGCTGGCTCTGTGGTTGCTTTTTCCTAGTCCCTCCGCACAGGAAGGCACTTGCACTTAGAGTGTTTGGCTCTGAGAAAGAACCTTCCTGGAAGCTAGAGAGAGTCAGGGGATCAGAGCCCGGGGTGGGGGTGGGGGGAGACTGATGTCTACTGTGCCAGAGCACACCTGGAAGGCTCCATTGGCCCCTCTGGGCCAGGACTCACACCAATGCCCTCCAAGCGGCCACGTTTCATTGCAGTTTCTCTAATTCCGTTTGAGGCTGTGCAGCTAAAGGCTCTACCCGAGGGTCCTCTGCAGGATGACCAGCAAGTGTTACCGGGCGGGATTCAAACAGCAAGATGAGTGTACTGTTTCTGTCCCCCAGCTTCCGCCGGTTGCCACCTGGCCAGAGGCTAAGACAGGCGCATGCCCGAAGCAAAGGACGCTAAGGAGAGAAACAGGACCCAGGCATAACCCGGTTTCCCTGCATCCTGGTGACATCTCTGTACGCACAGCTGTTAGAAGCCTCAGACATGAGACATCAGAATCTCGAGGGGGAAGTCAGACCGAAATCTCATTCACGTCACGGGAGATGGGCACGAAGAGGTGGCACCATTGGAATTTCGAAAGTCTCACTTCAGATGGATGAACTTGAATGCCGCAGGGACCAAGCAACGAGGCTGCGGGTCCAGGTGTCCGGTCCTCGGGTGCCATGCACGGGGGAAGGGAAGGGTCGGGAGGTCAGCGGGCGCTCCGGTGAGAAGGGGCCTGGGAAGTGGCTCGCCGGGCGGCGCCGCCCTCCCCGCGCGGGCCCCGCCGCGGGGTCAGACCTCCGTGAGCACCCTTTTCTCCGCGTACATCCGATGCGCGGGGGGCAGGTAGCTGGGCCTGCGCTCCCGGGCGGCCTCGGGCAGCTCGGGCTTGCCCAGCCCGCCGTCGGCCGCCTTCAGGTCGGGCGCGGGCTGCCCGCAGGTGACGTGGGTGTACTGGCCCTGCTCCTCCTGCTCCGTCTCGCGGTGGTAGAAGTAGTTGAAGTTGGAGACGATGACGGGCACCGGCAGGGCGATGGTGAGCACCCCGGCGATGGCGCAGAGCGAGCCCACGATCTTGCCCCCGACGGTCATGGGGTACATGTCCCCGTACCCCACCGTGGTCATGGTGACCACCGCCCACCAGAAGGCGTCGGGGATGCTGGGAAAGAGCGAGTCGTCGTCGTCGGCCTCGGCGAAGTAGACGGCGCTGGAGAAGAGGATGACGCCGATGAAGAGGAAGAAGATGAGCAGGCCCAGCTCGCGCATGGACGCCTGCAGCGTCTTGCCCAGGATCTGCAGCCCCTTGGAGTGGCGCGAGAGCTTGAAGATGCGGAACACGCGCACCAGGCGGATGACCCGCAGGATGGCCAGGGACATGGCCTGCTGCCCGTTCTGGCCGCCGCCCGCGGGCGCCGGGCCCTGCTGCTGCACCAGCTCGGTGCCCAGCGTGATGAAGTAGGGGAAGATGGCCACCAGGTCGATGATGTTCATGATGTTGCGGAAGAAGGCGGGCTTGCTGGGGCAGGCGGAGAAGCGCACCAGCAGCTCGAAGGTGAACCAGACGATGCACAGCGTCTCCACCAGAAAGAAGGGGTCCGTGAAGAAGG